GAAGTGAATTGATGTGTAAAGCAGACCCAAACACCCCTTTTTATAGTGCCAAAATAGGCTCCAACGGACCAATACATTAAAGGGGTGATTGGCTTGATTTATGGGATTGAATAAATTTGGGATCTGCAGGATATTGGCTTCCCAGCGATGTATGGACCTTACCCATCGCTGGTAGGCCAATTTTCCTTCAGTTTTGAAGCCAACGGTCACCTACCCATCGATGGGTAAATGTTTCCCATCGCTGGGTGGGAGGTTGACTTTCAAATAAGGAAAGAATCAGCCTTAAATGACTTGCAACGGTCATGCCTTCCCATCGATGGTTAAGCCTTCCCATCGCTGGGTTCCCATCGATGGGTAAAGCTTCCCATCACTGGGTAAGGGCATTCTGCCTTGTGATAATGTTGGACCAAGGCTTGAACAGCGATGGGTAGAGCTTCCCATCGCTGTTTGGCATGGTTCTGGAATTCAATTGGGCTGAAGGCTGCTTACCCATCGATGGGTAATATCTCCCATCGCTGGGTGAAATGATTCTGGAATCCCGGGATCACTTTCCCATGCATGCGTGAACTCTACCATCGCTGGGTAGATGGCTTGTCCAGAACCATGGCTAAGCCGACCGGCACTAAAACCCGACCGAAAAATGCAAAGTTCTCCAAAGTAAAAACTAAGTGTTTAAAACACTTATTTAATGTATTTTGATGTCAAAATAAGCTTTGTATTTTGAAAACCACGTCGTTAAGGTAAAAACCACGGATGACCAAGTCAATGCTGTACACGGGTGGTTTTTACCAAAAGACAAAACCGAAAGGTGGTTTTCATGATGTTTTGATTGGAGAACCATTTAAATGAATTCGAAAACAATTCCCACACAAAAAGACTCGAAAACCACTCCATTTAAGTAAAAACCACGCCTAGCCAAGTTTATGCAGTTTCGCATGGTTTTTATCAAACGACAAAAAACGAAAGATGGTTTTTGAAGTGTTTTTTATGGAAAACTATTTAAATGTGTCCAGAAGTAAAAACCAATCATAAAATTTTGAAAACCACTTCGTTGGTTCAGACACCAAAAGCCAACGCCGATAACCGAATGCCGAACGCTGGTTTCTGAAAGCCGAACGCCGGTTTCCGAAAGTCGAACCCCGGATGGCTTGGTTTTTGGTTTGGGCGAACACCAAGTGTTTTAATATGTTTGAGCATGTTTGAAAATAATTTTGATGATATGTAAAATGCAATAAAAAATGTTTTAGCCTAAAGAGCCAAAGTGCAAAGCTTGGGTCGGTCTTGATCACATTGTGACCGACTCAACGACGCTAAAGACTACGGTCTTCGTTCTTGGTATCTTTTAGCTCTTGTTCTCTTGCTTTCTTCTTATATTTATTTCTCGCCTTGTATATTCAACAACTTGTCTCGTTCACGGCGGTTTGGCATTATCAAAACCTGTCATAAAAACGAACACGGCTTTAGTACGAAAAAGCGATAAACCCGTGTTTCAACAGTTAAAACCCGAAGCTAGGCCGCTAATTGTTATTGAATATTATGTTGATTGATTATTATGGTAATGATTATTGATTGATGATTATGATGATTAAATCTTAATAAATATTCTGATTAAAAATGATAATTGTGAATGATTAAATCATAATGAATATATTGATGATTGTGAAAATAATATATTGTTAAGGGTATGTAGAAGACCTCTATGATATACTCATATTAATGTTGATTTGAAAGGTATCTAGAAGACCTCTAAGATATACCTATTTAAGTTAGGCCTTGCGGGTATGAACCCCGGTGGCTAGGGTTAAAACGTACGTACGGGATCCAAGAACTAAACTTGAGTACCTACTCGTTTGGGGGTACCACCCACCCAACAGTGAACACTACGCTGTCGGTTTCTGGTTGGCCTTAAGTGAAGATAAGTTTAAGATTTTCGAAACCCTTTTATCTTAAACTAGGTCTAGCTTAAGGATTATTTAGGAATACTTTATACTGGAATATAGTTTAATTATTTAAACTAGAATTCATTTAAGGGTTGATAAACATTAAAATGATTGGCCTTAGACTAAGAATAGTTTAAGGATATTGTCGAATATTGAATATGAATGAATATTGAATGATGATTATTGAATTGAATATTGTGAATATTATGAATAATCGATGAACGTCGAATATGAATATAAATGTTGAATAATTAAAGATGGATATTGACTAACGATTATCGAATATCTGAACTGAACATTATGTGCATGATATCAAATGATTTGATTATGAATTTAGATTCAGTTTATATGGATGTTCGACGCATTAGATATGCTTACTCAGCTTAAACGCTGAGCGTGTAGTATGTTTTATTTGCTACACGCAGGTAAATAAAAAGAATGAAGAAAAGATTCCGGGAAACAGATGGGACGAGATGGTCGGACGGATGTGTGTTTTGGATTTAAATTACTATTTCAAAAGACATAAATTAATTATGTTTGTATTATGTTTATTTAAGCTTTCGCAACATTAAATTACTCCGTTACTATTTTGAATTAATTATTATGAAATAAAGTTTTAAATGTTTGAAATATTTTGAATGTTTACGAATACCAAGTTTATACTTTAGTCCGAATGAGGCTACAGACCTGGACAGATTAGGGTGTTACAATTTAGTATCGGAGCAAATGGTTTTAAACCCGATCTTTGGATCAAAACTTGGATTTAAAAAAATGTATATTATATATATATATATATATATATATATATATATATATATATATATATATATATATATATATATCGGCTCTATAAAAAAATGTCAATCACATTCACGACTCTCGCATCCCTCTGCTCTAGGAAAAAGGTATGAGAATTTACTTGGTAAATAATGACTCTGTTAGAATTCTCATTAAATAACAATTGATTAGTACTGAAACCGTATCGAGCGTAGACTCTAGTTGAACTTTGGTACTCGGTGAAGAGACAAAAGAATAAACGAAATATTTATAATCTCCTGATACGTTATCAACATACCCTTCGCATCGCAAATGATGAAACTGATCTGCATCGCAAAATTGTACGAAAGTGAGACGACTTTGAAGAAACAATAAATGTTGAGAAACATCTGTGAAGCCGATGTCAAAGATCCTCATGCAGACTGAAGACGATCTAATCGCTGATTCAAACACGAACGTTTAGAATCAATAAACTCTGTTATCTAAAGTATCCAATACTATTGTTTGACTCATTAGGACACATTATGCGATTACTTAATGTGAATCGAAATCGTTTGTTAAGCGACAATTCTTTGTAAAACATCGTTGAATTACCATACAAGGAAATCGACATTATCCTTAGTATGCATTAACTAACTAAACGTCGTTGCTGTTGTCAACTTGTGATGAAGAATTCCTCAACTAAAGACCAATGATGGTAACCTTATAGAGATGAAAGCAAAGCTGATTTCTAAACCGACCAAGTTCATCTCGAATATATATGCGAAAACATCTCAAGTGTGAAGTCTATTCGTGCGATACCCAAAAAGAAAAGAAGCCTTTGGCTGGAACTTGTAGTGTCCCGCCCTCGAAAACAAGAAAACCTTTGTTAACTCAACACAAATTGAGATGAATGATCCTACAACATGCATCTAGGATGTATGTGATGATATGAATGACTTATTTTGAATGAAGTCTTAGTTTCAATCCATATATGTATATTTAATTCTGTTATTGGTTTTATTCTGAAAAACGCTTTGTCCTTTAGAATGGTAATCCTTTGGTTGGGTTCTGGACTGCTGATAATCGATTATTCCATATTGATAATCAAGGTTCTGCAGCCCTGGATAGTCAGTTATCACTTTGTGATAATCGATTGTCAGGTTGGCCAGCTCTAGGACTCAAAGTTTAGAGGGGTCTAATAATCGATTATCACCTTGTGGTAATCGATTATCAAGTGGAATCGATGCTTTGATAATCGATTATCAAGCTTTTCTGCTAAACCAAAGAATTCAGCGTGGCCTGATAATCGATTGTCATACCTTGATAATCGATTATCAAAGCACACGGGTTCTTATTTTATCCGCCTAATTACAACCAATACTTTGGAAGTTGGAATTAACATTTTAAGATTTCGTGTGTAGTAATCTATGATTTCAACGGGTTTCGAGGAGATTTCATTAACGAGTTCCGTAACCAAAAATCTTAATACCAAGAAGACCATAATCATGCGGATTCATGTAGGTTTAGCCGAGTAATCCTATGAATATAGCGATATGAAATGTACTACGGATTTTAAAGCTAGAGGGCAACGTACTCACCTCTAGAATGAAGGGGTTGACAGATGGCAAAACAGAACGAGTGAACGAACAATCAAACGGACGAACGGCTTCACGCACAAACCTTCTTCCCCTTTCTTTCTTCCTCACCTCCTCGCCGGAATTGCCTTCCCTCGCTGCTGCTTGGCCGAACACAAAGAGAAGGGGAGAGGGAGAGTTGTGAGTGTTGTGGATGGGGGTTACACAAATGGAGGAAAGGAGGGGAGAGGGTTGCTTATAATAAAGAGGATTAATTGGGGAATTAAAAATGGGAGTTAATGAGTGTGTGGGTGGCGTGGGAAGTTAATTCGAGAGTTACCTCCATATATATATATATATATATATATATATATATATATATATATATATATATATATATATATATATTCATTACTCCATCATATACATTTAATAAAATTGAGCTAATATAAGATATCCAAATTTCTATAACATCTATTTATTTAAATGGTCAAAATGTATACTAATTAAAGCAAAAAGTCAAAATACAAATATTTTTTAGACAATAAATATATATTGTTTTTATACATTTTGACCAGTTAAATATATAAATGTTATAGAAATTTGAATATCTTAATATTAGCTCAATTTTATTAAATGTATATGATGGAGTAATGAATATATATATATATATATTCATTACTCCATCATATACATTTAATAAAATTGAGCTAATATTAAGATATTCAAATTTCTATAACATTTATTTATTTAAATGGTCAAAATGTATAATAATTAAAGCAAAAAGTCAAAATACAAATATTTTTTAGACAATAAATATATCTCTACATCTTATCATACGGAGTATTGATACAAACATGACTTTATTATATTTATCAAGCAAAAAAACTTTCATAATACTATTTTATTGTATTAATATGCAAAATAACTTTTTTTCAACTAATAATGAAAGTTTATCCAGTTTGAGCAAAAAATATCAAACTGGATAAATATATAGGAACAAGTATGATTTATCTCCTACTTTTAGATGGAGACAGGGATATGTCCCTCAAGAGTTCCACAACCTTTCTCATTGATGGTCTATCAATGGGCAATGCCGAAGTACAAAGCAGAGCGACATTCAACAGTCTTCTTATTTCTCCATAGTCATGTGTAGAGGGACACATTCTTGGGTCGACAATTTGAGACAATTTGGCAAAATCATTGCAACGATGGCCATTATTATTTTCTTGAGATTGCTCTGATGAAGAGGATGATGATGATATTATGGTGTTCAACACCCATTGTACAATGCCACCATTGCTTTCACCAAAAGAGGCATCATTTGGCCATTTGCCGGATATAAGTTCGAGTAGTACCACCCCAAAACTATACACGTCACTGCTTTCTGAAATCCGTAGTGTATATGCATATTCTGCAAGGTAAACAATCATTACACTTGTAATCTAGCATTGTGTGTTTATTGAAACGCGTTTTAGTCCTAATTAAGTACTCGTATTTTTTACCTTATTAGTTGATATACTCTTTATAGTTTGTTTGCTTAAATTATGCATTTTGAATAACGAGAAAAGAAATGCTAAAATTACCCCAAGTTTCTCACATACTTCCACATACATTGAGCAGTAATGGGTATCTATGAATGTATGCAAAGAGATTGGGGCGAAAGATCTTTCATCACAACCTTCTCACATACATCCACTTACATTGTGGAGTAACGGGTACCTATGGATAACTATGAGAGGGTTGAGGTGAGAGATGAAGTGCCCCTAGCATGGTTTAGACCTTGTACCGACAAACAAGATAATTTAAATTAAGAGAATTTAGAAAATGCTATCGAGTATTACCGGGTGCAATGTAGCCATATGAGCCAGCGACGCAAGACATGTCATGGTCATGTTGCTCTTGCACCTTAGCCCCGCCCTCGTATAACATCTTGGCCAGCCCAAAATCAGCCACTTTTGGTCGAAAATCTTTGTCTAGCAAAATGTTATTAGACTTGATGTCGCGGTGAAGGATTGGAGGAACACAATCATGGTGGAGATAGGCCAGTCCTTGAGCGGCACCAACTGCTATGTTGAACCTCTTGGGCCAATCCAACACCACTTCTCCTCCTCCTCCTTCTTCTTCTCCTATTTGTTGTCTGTGCAATACATCTCCCAAGCTACCATTCTCCATGTACTCATAAACCAAAATCTTGAAATCTTTCCCACTGCATCCATACAACAGCTTCACTATGTTTTTATGCCTGACATTCCCTAAAGTCTCCACCTCCGACTTGAACAGCTCTTCTGATTCCTTTTCCCCAGTTTCTCGGCTCGCCTCCCCCATTAGCTTCTTGACCGCGACCATTTGCCCATTTCTCAATTGGACGCGAAAAACCTGGCATGAACCCCCCCTTGCAATGAGGTTGTCGCTAGTCAAGGACTCCAACAGTTCTGTTTCTTCAAACACTATCCTCTGGAAAGCGATTCTCATCAATGATGGTCGCTTGTTATTACCTCTTTTCCTCCATGATGACGTCATCTTTGTCAAGATCCAGGCGAGTAACCCAACAAGGGAAAAAGCGGAAAGGATCAAAATACCAACCAAGTAAGAACGCGCGAGTTTGTGGTTGGTACATGAAGGGAGATTGGTGAGATGGGTAGAACTGCATAAACCCGGGTTTCCTGTTAGGCTTGATTGATAAATGGAGTTATCGAATTCGGAAGGAACTTTCCCTTTGAGATTGTTATTGGAAAGATTGAAACCGTTGAGCTTTAGCCTGGTTAAAGAGGAAGGAATTTCACCTGATATGTTGTTGGAGGAAAGGTCTAAATAGTTTAGAACTGGCAATGAGCCTATAGAGCTTGGGATTTCACCAGATAGTTTATTGAAAGATAAATTCAAGTCTGTCAATTCACTCCATGATTCAATGGATTTGGGGATTTCTCCTTGGATGAGATTTTCTTGAAGATGGAGCTTCTGTAGGTTCTTCAATGATGTGAGGCATGAAGGCAATGCACCTGAGAATCTGTTTCTGCTCAAATCCATGATCGCCACCTTCTGTAATTTGCATAGTTCTGGTGGGATTTCGCCGGAGAAATTGTTCCCGGAGATTAGAATCTCTGTCAGTTCTTGGTCGTTTGAGATTGAAGGAGGAATTCTCCCTGCAAGATTGTTGTTCTGGAGCTCGAAGAGCTTGTACCCGGGCAATCCCCAGAAACCGGAAGGCACTTCTCCGGCGAGTTCATTGTTTTGGAAGCGCACGTACGTGAGAGAGCTACAATCGCCGTAGGTTTCCGGGATGCTGCCGGAGAATCTGTTTTTGAAAATGATTAGTGTTTGAAGGGCTTTCTTCGAACAGAGATTCGGCGGCAGTGGGCCTTCTAATTTGTTGCCGGAAACGTCGAAATCCGTCAGTTCGGAGTTCGTGCCAAGGTTTTCCGGCAGGACGCCGGTGATTCTATTGTTGAAGAGCTTCAGTTCACTGAGATTCGGGTTCAGAGATAAGACATCTGGGATTTCACCTTCGAGATTGTTGTCGTTTAGATGCAGCAATACGAGATGTAATCCGGCGAGGCTCTCGGGGATTTTCCCCGTTAACCTGTTTTGGGAAGCGTCGAAGAAAGCCAGAGAGGTGAGGTTGGAGAATGTGTCCGGTAACTCGCCGGAGATTCGGTTGTCGTAGAGGAGTATCTGTTCGGCGCTTCTCAATCCTCCGATGGTCTCCGGGATTTCGCCGGAAAGTTTGTTGGAAGAGAGATCGATGCTCCTGAGGCGACTCAGGCTCCCGATGGAATGCGGGATGGGTCCTATGATGTTTGCTTGCCGGGCGAAGAGAAGCTCGAGCTTCCCCAGATTCCCGATCGACGGAGCGAGTCGACTCGCCGCGAACGGGTTGAGGGCAATTTCGAGGTGAGTCAACTCGGTGAGATTCCACAGCCACTCCGGTATTGTGCCGTTCAGGAGGTTGTTCACGAGATTCAGCTTCTCCAGCTTCCTCATCCGGGAGAAACTAGCCGGGATTTCGCCGGTGAAGTTGTTCGAATGAAGGTACAGTTCAGTGAGGTTCTCGAAATCCCGCCGGAGCTCCGGCAACTCCCCCACCAGAAGATTCGAGGAGAGATCCAGAATCTCCAAACGGAAGCAGAGAGAAAAAGAACCGGCACTAATCTCCCCGCCGAAATAGTTATCTGAAAGGTTCAGTCGCCGGAGGGATAAAATCCGGCAAAAATCAGCCGGGAATCCGCCGGAAACACCGAGCCCGCCGAGATCAATCGAGACCACGTCTCCACTCCGGCCGTCACACGCAACACCCGTCCAATTACACGGACCACCCGGACCGCTCCAATCGCCGAGCACCCCATTGTCGTCGACCAGCCGGCGAGTTCTCACCCGGAGCAAAAGATCCGCGTCCCGGCGGGAAGAGACCGCCGGCGGCGAGAAAACAGCAACGGAGAAACAGCAGAGCACCAGAAACCGACGCATCGCACCGTCCACCACGGGGAACTGAAATTCGGGCGAAGATTATCTTCTACCCAAATCATGAATTTAAAAAAAAAGAGGGTTATTAATTAATGAGGCGTATGAAGGAAGATCAGAAAGGGGAAAAAAGAAACTGAAACGGCGGTGGGTGGTTGGCCGGTGAGGGGGTGACGAATGAGAGAGAAAGACGATGAAGTTCGAGTTTTTTTGAGTTCACACTGTAGGAGAGAAGTGAAGAAGGAGCGTTTAAAACGAAGGGCTTCTTGCCATGGCGGACGGACAGGTTTACGGAAAATCGGCACCGCAATTATTACCAGAACTGAACTCAAAAAAAAAAAAAAAAAAAAAAAAGAGGATTTGGCTTTAAACGTTTCATGCCGGCTTGCTCAAAGGGGATTTAGGCGCCAAAACTCAAGTTTGTTTACTCACGAGTAGTGGTTTAAAAATGCAATATTTACCTTGTCAAACTTGAATCACTTTTTTTTACCTATTTTTATTAGGTATTTGATAAAATAATATAATCTTGTCACCACTTGTTTTGTAGAACTTTTCATTAGGTATTTGATGTAGTTTTTAAATATATAAATTTTATTTTTTAATTTTATATCTACAATCAAATAAATTGAATTGAAAATAAAGTCGGTCAAACCTCGTAAAATGAACCGGGAAGAACATTATAGGACGGATGAAGTATTAAAAAAAAGTGTTGTAAATATAAAATAATATTTAAAAAATGTTTAATTCAAATAAACTACACAAAAATAGTACAAAATACTACTTTTTCTAAAAAAATATTTTAATTATATTTACCATATGTATACTCCCTTCGTTCCTTAAAACAATTCATGTTTTGATTTGGAAGAGATTTAATTTCATAGTTTGACCTTCTAATTATACTTTTATGGAGTATTATCGAAAAAAGATAGACAAATCATTTAAATGGCGTATTATATCAATGCAAATTGAATGGAGTATATTGTAAAAACTTAATTTAGACATATTAGCTATTTTTACAAAAATGGAAGTATTTTATGGAAAAACGAAAAAAATGAAAGATGAACTGTTTTAAAGAATGGAGGGAGTCTTTTCAAAAAAAAGAATGGAGGGAGTAATAAAGAATACAAACGGTATTTAACTAAATATATTTCTCCATTTCCCAAGTGCACTTCGGCGTACCTAAAGGCAACGCCCTAGTTCTTGGTGATTTTATTGTCATCGGTTTATTTTGTGCAATTGGATTTATTTTGATCGGACAAGAATTTAAATAGACGTTGTCATACGAGTTAGGAGGCGCGGAGTGCGCGCTCGTTCAACGATATTATAAATTCACTGCGGGGGTCCGGTGGCGGCAACCCCTGGCGGGGTCTAAGGGAAATTTTTTATTTCAGACGTTGTTTCTTTATGAAAATTCTTAAGATTTTCGTCACCGGAGTCTAAAACGATAAAGGACTCGTACACAGTGGATAACATCGAAATAGAGCCTAAAAACCGCAGGAGACCTTTCGTTCAAACTCGCGCCTTTCTTCTTCGCGCGAACGTACGCGTACGTCTACGCGAACGTCCATGTCTGATCATAAGGATTTTCGACTATATAAAATAGAGTCTTGTGGTATGGGTTGAGCGACCGATTTTGAGTGTTTGTTCTGGATTAACGTCTTATCTGATTAAAGTATTTCGTATATCCCGAAATAACTTTGATCTGAAAGCGTTTCATACGCAATTCGTTATACTATCAAGTTCTTCGTTTAACACTGCTTCGCAGTGTTCTTCCTCATAGAAATCCAACACTAGTCACATATGGCTGTTATGAAATAGGGGCGTGACGGATGGACGAAGGTGGTGAAGCCTCTTCTCATGCCCCATAACACATAGCCTAATTGTGGGTGGTTTTAATGAGTTTCAATGACCCCAAAGTTCAAAACTTATTTAGTGTTCTGAAGGATATCCTTCCCTCCAGACTTTGTTACTAGTCCCTCCGTCCTAAAACGTTCTTCGCACTTGCCTTTTTTTCCGTCCACATTTAAAAAAAGATACAAAGAGACATTTATACCCCTTTCTCCAGTCACGCTCTAACCATTTCACATTTTCTTCTTCTCTCGATCTACTTTTTCTCTCTCTTCCATCTCTCTTGAAACAATAGATCTAATCTTTAGATCTACTTCTTATCTCGTTTCTCTCTTCCTCTCAACCTACTCTGTTTTTTACAATCTCTCTCAATTTCTCGCTTCTGTCTTTCCATTTCATCGATCTTCCTCTTTTTTTTTGAAATGACATAGTTTCTTCTTCATCTATTGGCTGACGCGGGGGTGAGGCATGGGAAATAGATCTGGTAGATTCAGTGTTAAATCTTGAAACGAGGCTCCCGTAAAAAGCACGCGCAAATCCAGTGTCGTATATCCAAGCTCCCAACAATGGTGGTCGCATCGAAGAACTGGAAGTCATCTCCTCTGTGTTGTCATACGAAAGAGTTTTTCCTCTCTATTTTCTCGATGGTGTTCCTTGGTCCTATTTTGTTGAACAACTTACGCACCTCTAGAGGGGGTGAATAGAGGTGTTCTTCAAAAAACAAAACTCTTGGAAGATTAAACAAGAATTCGCAGGATTATATCAACCACAAGAACACAAAGAAGAAGAGGAGCAACACACGATGTATACTGGTTCGGCCTAAATGCCTACATCTAGTCCCCGAAGCAATCGTGCCCAAGCCTTCACTAACCTGTCAAACTTAACGGAGTTTGACAATCCGAATACAACTCGAGAACTTGATTTCACAATCCTCTTATCTTACCACCAAAGTTTTGATTTCACAAAACTCTAGATTTCTTCCACCTAACGTTTGATTTCACAAATTGTTAGGATTTCTACCACTTGATGTAATCCCAACACCAAGAATACAAATCCCTTACAATAAAGTAAGAAAATAAACCGCAACCGAGTAATTCTCCCAATACGGAGTAGATTGTTGCAAATACCATGAAATCTTTTAGAATTTGGCAATATCTCTCAAAGACTCCAGCAATGAGGAAAAACTCAAGCAAGAAATGATTTAGCAATCAAAACAATTGCCTTGCTTGGATATAAGGAGGGGATTGAGTAGAATCTCTTTGGATATTCAAAGGATATGTTTTTGAAGTGTTTTCAATGTATATTCTTGGCCAAAAACACGAGATAGGGTAGTTTAAATAAGGATAGGACGGAGTAACTACCAAAAGATTTGAAAAAAATGGTCGTTTAAGAGTTGAAACTGCCGAACTATTCGACTAGACTTAGTCGACTAGTTTTGGTGAAACTGCAATCTGACTTATTCAACTAATTCAGAATAGAAGTTCAGGGATTTACTCGAATCGTTTTCAACTTATTCGAATAGTTTGCTGAAAAATGTGTTTTAAAGGTAGGATGATAAGGAAATGAACCTTAGAGATGCCATACTCTTTAACACAAAATCTAAGACCAAAAAAACTACCCAACTAAGGAAACAACCTCTTCGGTCTCGTTCTTTCCACCGATGCTCAAGTCCCTTTTTCACGGACGGATATGAACTTGTTGTAGCTTTGATTCTTAGCCTTGATGCACAATATGAAGATGATCTTTTGTCACCCTTTTGTCATTATCAAAACCTAAATGACAATGGGCAAAGGACATTGCAAATCTATATATTCATGATAGCACATTGTCCAACATATTGGTCTTAAACCCAAATCTAAAACATAAATTATTCAATTTTACCTTTTTCATCTTCTAGAGTCAGTTCTTGGATATGATTGTGTTTTTTTCTTTAGGGGGTTAACTCACAACCGAGAGAATTGGATTTAGATGACATCTTTTTATGTTTTCTCTAGACAAGGATTATTGAGGGGCATTTTAGAAAAATCAAAACATATTTTACACTTTCTTAAAAAATGAGCTCCGGTCAAACCGGGAAGATGGTTTTAGAATGGAGGGAGTATTATTCTGATGAATTAAGTTCTTATTATTTTGAGTCTCTCTGGCTTAAGTCATCTGGATGAATTAAGTTTTGAATTTTTTAAAATGCCTCAAAAAGAAAATAAAGATTTTCTTGCGATGAATGTGTAGAGAGTAATAGAGTTAATAATTTAAAATTCGAATATCAAAGAGTTTTCACTAAGATTCTATCGAGTAAATTTTATAAATGATTTCTAATTATAAGTGATTTTCCATATTTAGTTACCAATTATAAGATACAGAATATTACATCAATTATCCTCAATTTTTGAAAATTATTTCATAAATAGTCATCTAAGCCAAATATGACTAAATATTTTTTCACAAATACTCCCTAAAGGATTGATTATTGAATAATTTTCAAAAATTAGGAATTATTTATATAATATCTTAGAATTGAGGACTAAATATAAAAAATCGGTCGTAATTAAAAATAATGTTCTTATTGCGCGTTATGATATTTGATAGAAGTTATTTTCAAATCATTTTATATGTAAAATGGTATGTAACTAAAAAATAAAAATTACATATTTAAAAACAACATAAATAGATCTACAAAATTATAAGTGAGATGAATATATTATTTTATCAAATAAACAATAAAAATAAACTAAAAAAGTAAATAATTTTTGACCTTTTGAAATATGAACGAAGAAATTAATACTGAAAGGAAAGATCATATTAAAAGCACAATACAAGTTTTATAAAATACGAAGGGACAAGATTATAATAATAGTTTCTTGTAAAAAAATGATGATAAATTGGATTTTGTGTAGTGCCAAGACTTCCCATCTTCTTCTTGGATTGATTATTTATACAAGAAGCTATCTCATCATCTTCTCTGAAACTCTGATCTCTCCGAAAACAGCTCAGAAATATGCAAGGTGCAGATACCAACCGAAGAATTTCACGAATCTCAGCTCACATATGCCCTCACAATTCCCAGGTCACTCTCGATTCTTCCCCATTTCATATCCTTCCACTACCTTAATCTGTATATTGGCTCGATTCCATGATAAGTTTAGCTTTGGACATGATTGAAATCGATCATATAACTCACCTGCTTTGTCGAATTTGTGCTTTGTGGGTTTGAAGACGGAAGAAGTTTCTGGTTTGGGGATGACGAATTGCAGGGCCAGAGGGGCGTCGCCAGGGTTTAGAGTTGCGATTTTGGGTGCTGCTGGAGGTATAGGACAGCCTCTTGCTATGCTCATGAAGATGAATCCGTTGGTCTCGCTTCTGCATCTCTACGATGTGGTAAATACACCAGGTGTTACCTCGGATATCAGCCACATGAATACTG